CTGCTCCAGTAGACATTTTCCTAAATGGTGGGTTTTTGTCATTTCTGGTTGCAGATTATGTATACAAGGCCATCGATGCTCTTCCCGTTACATCTCATCCGATGACTCAGTTTGCCACAGGTGTTATGGGTCTTCAGGTTAGTAATGAGTTCTCTATTTATCACGCCCTAGATGAGGTGATGATTTTCTTTGTCAACTTTACGTGAAAGGTTTTTGTATGGATACTTGGATCAATTTGGAAATTTCATATTTGACTTCCATAAATACTTTTTAGCATCCAACTTCTCGTTTGTTTATTTTGATCAAAACACAGCGTTTTATGCTTGGATCCAATTTTATAAACCCTGTACTGCTGAATTTAGTTTGTTGGATTATATTGAGAAAAAGTTTAGTTTATTAGAAACGTAATTAATTATCTAGGTGCACTGTTGTTAGCTGTCTTTTAAGGTGTCTACTTGTACTTTCCTTCAGGTTCAAAGTGAATTCCAGAAGGCTTATGAGAAAGGAATTCATAAATCAAAGTAAAGTTCGTGCATTCAAGATTCAGTCTTCGTATTTTCTCAAGTACTGAAAGCTATTTAATTTTATAGGTACTGGGAACCAACGTATGAAGATTCTATGAATTTGATTGCTCGAGTACCTTTGGTAGCTTCTTATGTTTACCGCAGGTTGGTAGATCACTCTAATTATATATTTGTTGATTGTATGAAACTAATTGTGTCACTTGCCGTTGCATATTTAAAATATTCTGACCCCTTCTTGCACGGTCTCCTCCATTTCGTTGTTGGATTAATTTGGACTTCCTTCTAATCATATTTGAAGGATATACAAGGATGGCCATATAATTCCAAAAGATGACTCTCTGGATTATGGTGGCAATTTTTCGCACATGTTAGGATTTGATAGTCCCCAAATGCAAGAACTCATGAGGCTCTATGTTACTATCCATACGTAAGTATATGTTGTTCATTTCCATCGGATTTAAAGTATTTAATTTAAGAGAGAATAATCAAATAACATCTAATGTTTGTGTAAAAATGACCTGCAGTGATCATGAAGGAGGGAATGTCAGCGCTCACACAGGCCACCTCGTAAGTTATCTTTCTTCTCAGATTTCAATTGAATTGTGTGTTTTCTTTTCTCTTTAGTATTTTATAGTATCGTTTCCTTAGTCTGAACTTCTGCTGTACATTGATTGAAACATGACTTTTTCAAGCGTAGCTGTCAGTGTAATGTTTCTGCACATCAAATTCATGCCTGTGTCATTCTCTTAGTTATTTAATACTTTTATGCAGGTTGCTAGTGCACTTTCAGATCCCTATCTTTCGTTTGCTGCTGCTCTAAACGGATTGGCTGGACCATTACATGGTTTGGCAAATCAGGTGTGTGATAGACTGTTTTCTAATAGCTACTCCTTTTCCTCTATTTGGTTTGAACTTTTAATAAAGTACGTAATTATCATTTGTAACTCTCTCATTATATTGATGGATTTCATTCTTACTACTATTTTCCCCCTTCAATTCATTGACTTTCAATTTATCTAGAAAGTGTAAAATAGAAATCAATAGATAAGTGAAAGGGATTGAGATAATTATTTGGTTTACTCATCATAACTGATAACAGTCTAATAGTACCTTATGGAACATTCTTCAGGAATGTTTTTGATTCTGCTATTTATCTTTGGAGTGAGGGAACTTGTGTTGTTCATTTTACGTCTGTAGATTTGAAACCAAGTAATGTTTGAGCGTTAGCCTTAAACTAACTGCAATTAACTTTATGACATGAATATACATAGCAAATGTTTGCTCTATGCATCTTATCAACATATAAAGATTGCCAATTATTGTTGCTTATTTCCCACTGCTTGCAGGAAGTTTTACTTTGGATCAAATCTGTAGTGGACGAGTGTGGAGAGAACATAACTAAGGAGCAGTTGAAAGACTATGTTTGGAAAACTCTAAACAGTGGCAAGGTAACAACATAAATCCATTCTGGCTAGAAATGTCAGGCATGGAGCTTATACTTAATATACCTTCATCCTCGCTTATATATAGCCAGTATCATTAACTGTACTTTTGTTTGAGAATAACAATTGAATGGTTATTTTGGTAGGAATATGCATTCTTAGACTTTTTTTGTTGGTTCATTAATCCTCCTCTCTCAGTTTGCCGCTGTTTGTCAAAACTTTCCTTCAAGCATTTCAGTCATAGTGGTTTAATTTTCTGGGAGATATTTTTTTTCCCGTTTTCAAAAACTCCAATGTATTTCGAGTCTTATCCTCTATAGGAAGAGGAGACGTCCTTTATGGATTTCTTTTTCAAACTTATGGTTACATGATTTGTGGAACTTTTATCAGCTCCTTATCATTCTTTTTAAATTGTAGGTTGTTCCAGGATTTGGTCACGGAGTTCTGCGTAAAACAGATCCAAGATATACTTGTCAAAGAGAGTTTGCGTTGAAGCATTTGCCAGACGATCCTCTTTTTCAGCTGGTTGTCATTTTCTCCCTGATTGTAGACTCACACACAAGCATTCATACACACGCACTGTATAAATCCCTTTTGGTTTACTTAAGCCGTAAGTTGCTCACACAATAACCTAGCATGGGATTTGCAGGTATCCAAGCTCTACGAAGTCGTGCCACCCATCCTAACAGAACTTGGCAAGGCAAGATGAGCTTCCTTCTCTATAACTAGCTCAATTGTGCATGCTCCTTATCTTCTGTTGTTAGTCATTTCTGCTAGCATTTGTGGGTTCATTTCTCAACTCGGGTGGGGGAGTTTCAGTAGTATCAAATTCTTCTTATGATAATTTCTACTGTGTCGACCAAACATATAGATTCCATGAAACTGATTCTTTCCCTTCATAAAATGAATTAAATGTTCTAAGTTTGTACTAAATGTCCATGATCGAGCACAATATGTAACTTGACTTTTGAGTCAAACACAGTATAATTTGATGGAGTACATGAAACTATCCCATGAATTGTTGATGCTCACGAACGTCACCCATGAATCTTACATAGTTGTCTCCTCTTGTGGCATTTTCCGCGTTTGCAGGTTAAAAACCCATGGCCTAATGTTGATGCTCATAGTGGTGTGCTGTTGAACTACTTTGGTTTGACCGAAGCAAGGTAGCGATTCATTAATACACATTGATGTTTACTTTTAACTAAACGATAACTATAACTTTCATCAACTATGCACAGGTACTTTACTGTTCTCTTCGGTGTTTCAAGGAGTATTGGGATATGTTCTCAGGTCTGTCTTTTTTTTTTTTTGTACATTCATTCTCAGTTCTTCTTCATTTTACTAAATTCTTAGAGCTTTACTACGTGTTCTGGCTTCAGTTAATATGGGACCGAGCTCTGGGGTTGCCACTCGAGAGGCCGAAGAGCGTGACATTGAAATGGCTCGAGGACCACTGCAAGAAAGCAGCAGCTTGATTGAAAGTGGCTGTCCAAAAACAGTTCATTCAGCCTTCACAAATTGGTCGAGGGTGAGAGATTTCTTGTCATTTGCTAGTTTTAATAATTGTTCAAGCATGGTTTACCACGCAGATACAGGATTACCTGAAATTACTTTTGGGGATAAGTAGATTTTGGAATCACTTATTTCTTAAACTCGCCGAGTTTCTTGGCAAATTTTTCATTCATTCGGTTTCATATAGTAGCTGTTAGAAGTGCATTGTTCAGGAGAGGAATTGGTCGGGATGCCATTTGAATAAAACGGTTGGCATGGCTTGAATGTTAATCTATACCCATTAGGAGCTGAGTTTCGGCTGCACTTTTCCTTGTATGAGACACTTACAACGTTAATTTAGAATGACTTTTCGAAGTGTTAAAACTTTTTTTTAATTACTTTTTAAAAGCCCCTTCATACAGTCCTCAAGTATCGTACGTAACTTAGCAATAAAGTTTAAAACATATTTTTTATATGGGTAAATTATGAATAATATTTCCAAATGGTAACTTCTTGGTATCCATATCATATCCGACTAAAGCTTGCCCTTTTAAACAATCAAGGATTAAGTAAAAAAATAAGGTGTTCCAATGTTAAGAATGAAAAATCGAATTGGGATCTGCGATACAAGACTTAAAAAAGGAATTCCTCCAAGGGCGTGGGTCAGGAATTCCAATCATTCTTGTTATACGCTCGTTCCAACCCTTCACGTCCAGTTCGGAGGGTGGGGATATCCCGACCCTACTATTATTATGCCTTTGCAATCCTTGGACAATTTCTTTTTGCAAATGTATGTATAGCTAGCCCCACACCTATTTCCCTTGTGAAAGAAGAATAGTCCAGGTTTGATAAAAGAGAAAGATTATAATGAGACTGAACTACCGGAGGTAAAGCTTTACCGAGTTTACTGTTCAAGAATAACTCACAATAACAAATGTATTTTCATTCATATTCACAACTTTTAAATAAGATATAAGCATTAAATATTGAGAATAAAATAAAATAAAATATACTACACATCATAAATGAAAGAATATTATAATATAATATGATATATTTCGTAACTAATATATTCTTAAAATATTATACGCAATATATAAGGGGAACTAAACTATGAATGTTTAAATTAATACATATATAGTTCAACTTAAACTTAACATTTTGTTGATAATGTGACAATTTACTATATTAAAGAAAAAAACTTAAACTTAACATTTTGTTGATAATGTGACAATTTACTGTATTAAAGAAAAAACTTAATATTTTTTTTTTGTTGATAATGTGACAATTTACTATAATTATAGGAAACTTTTTAGCAGTAAATATATATTTATTTTTTTTATTACCCATCATTTTTTTTTTTTTTTGTTGAATTTAGACACTATTATTAAACTCTCATGTCCTCACAATAATTAATGAGAAGTCATAAAAGATTAAAAAAAAAAATTGAATTACCATTTAAGTAATTTAGATATATATAAAAAGATAGTAAAATAGAATATTCTTCTAAGTAGATAACAAAAAAAGACGTGAATTATGAATGGATCATCCACACCCTCCGTGCCGCATCTCGTGCGAACTCTCTCCTCTTCTGAAGTTAACGAAGTCATTGTACCAAGACTGGAGGTGAATGGCTTCCGTCTTCGCCGCGCCGCCGTCTCAACTGGTTCTCTCTTCTCACCGCCCAAGTTTGGATCACAAAGCTTTTCTTCCTTCCATCGTCGGCGTTAAATTTCATCGGAATGGCTTTCCAATTCCTTCTTTCAGGTATCCGTAGTTTATTCACTCCTCTTCGATCCCTCGCATTCGACTTCTTTGATCTCAGTAGATATCAGGACTGTTGTATATTGTTAATGAGACTAGTGATCATTTTAGTAATGAAGTTCATCTGTTAATTCTGTGAAGTAGTTCGACTTTGATTCTTTTGTTGATATTTGATAATGGAATCTGGCAGGTTGTTGCTAATTCCTAATTGTTTTTTGCTACTAACGCCAGGTGCTTATAAACTAGTATTATATTTTTGTTTTTCGGAATTTTCATTAGATTGCGTGTTCAGCAGTCCTCTACGATCCCTCGCATTAGGCACAATTATTTCAGAAGATATCTGGACTGTTACCCTTGCAATGAGCATGTTAACATCGAAGTTCATCTGTTGCTTAGTTCTGTAAAGTGAATCCACCTTGATTCTTGTGATGGAAATGGAATTTGGCAGGTAGTAAAACACTGAATCTTAATTGATTTTCGCTATGCTACTCCCGCAAGGAACTTATACTAGCATTAGGATTTTGGCTTTATTTTTCCGGTTTTATTCCAATTCCAAGTTGGAATAGGATGAATCTTTGATTTGATACTTTCTGGCTTCCGGATGCGCCTGGGGAAAGTTTATTAGTTCTTTCTGAAAGCTCTTCTCTGATTGTGAAGTAGTTACATTTAAGATTGCCAGAAAATGATAATTCTGGAATGGCCTCTATAATTTCTTTGAAAAACATAGACCTTTTGGATGAATCACAGCTGTTGGAGGAACCACAGTAATAATAAATGGTTTAAATCTCTACAACAATTAATTGAATTCTATCGTCTTCTCAAGTTGTCAGTTGGCTCAACAATTAATTTGGAGTTTCCTCTTTAAAATCTTCTGGAAGTATTGGTGCAAATACTGTTTCCTACCATTCATGGTTCGATCTTTATGGTATTTTGTCTGTTTAGACTTTCATTTACTTCAACTCTTTCCTCAAAAAGACATGATATACTTATATAAAGCTAAATCAGTAGCTGAGATCCTCCTTGCATCTGCTAGTCAGATTTGCCAGAAATTAGAACACACCTAATCTGAGATGACTGATACTTGTAATCACAATATTGCTACTCAGCTGAGTGGTTGTGTGATTTCTTTTATGCAGGTACAAGAACACCAAAGGATTGAAATTGAGGCAGAGATCGTTTTCTATAACAGCATCAAATTCCTCAGATGGGAATTCCACCAAGGAGAAAAATGATGGAAGTAAAGTAACTGGTGATGCCCAAGGTCCTCCATTTCTTACCATTTTGGCTGGATTTTTTGTCTTTTCCCTCGTCCTTTGGATAGTCAGTTCCTCTGTCACAACCCTTATAGCTCTAGCCGTCAAGTTGATCTCAACAAAGTAGTGTTGCATTATTGGCTACACTAATCCTCTCAATTATGTTTAGTTTTGGGGAAGGACCTGAATATAGGCAGTTGATTTGGTTAGACTTAAGTAATAAAAATGCACATTGACTCATTCTGTAGTACTCTAGTTGAATCTTCTTTATAAGTCATTTTCTAGAGTCGTTATCATCATTCTTATTCCCATCCAGATTAAAATCTAATGGCAAAGGGAACAAGAACTAAATGGTACTACACTTGGACAATGATGAAGGATTTCTACAGAACAAGGTGGCAAAATATATTATCCGTTGGAGAAAATACATTCCAAACAGTGGTAGGACACATTCTTTATGGTATATAACAAAATTGTGATAGTGAATTGAAATTACTTTACTTGGCCCTTAAATAAACCAAAAAAGAAAAAGTGTATATATATATATATATATATATTATATATGTCTAACTAGCACAATTCTTTTCTGTTTCTGAATTTTCTCCAGCTGAAGCTGTAAACTTCCGCCGGTCATCAGTGGATGCAGTTATCACCGGCATCCAAATATCAGCAGTATGACTCAAAAGAGACTGCACCTGTGGGTCAGCAGCCATTGCTGAAGAAATCATTTCATTCACATCGTCTAGCTTTTCAGATAACTTATCCAACTCCTTGGCAAGTTCCATCTGAATAAATAGGAAATGGACTTTTTAGACATTAGATTCAATCTCTTCAAGAAAATGTTGATAAATGCAATGAGTTTATGAAGGAAACCAGACGGACTTCATCGAGCTGCTTTAAGGACTTTGAGGGTACTTTTGTTACTTCAAGTCCAAAAAGGGCTTCGATCTTCATACGAAGTTCAACTTCCTCCTGGTTGGTCAGTGATTCCACCTGCAAGATAATTGTATCTTAGGAAAGAAAAGAGCAGAGAAGCTCAAAACATTTCCTGGCTAGGACTTATGCTGAGGATTTTTGAAAGAATTAGTCCTACCTCGACTGATTAAGAAGAAGAGCATGAATTTATAAGTAAGGAACACTATCTCCATTGGTACGAAGCCTTTTGAGAACCAAAAGTAAAGCTGTTATAAGAGCTTATGCTAAAAGGTGGACATTATCGGTGGAGGATCGTAGTTTCCAACATACTACACAATGGGTACTCATTGAAACAAAAAACATAGTACCGTACCCAAACGTGATGGTGAATGCAACCTACGTCCAAAGGGGTGGATCATAGGTTCATGACAAGTTTGGAAACTTTCTCTTCTCATTATATGGTCAAAGAGAGGCAAAGGTGTTGACCGTTATAGACCAGAAATTTTCTACTCGCTGTATTAATTAGGTGCCAAACAATCAGAATACGTAACTGCTTCCCAGAGCAATTCCCTAAGGGAACAGTGTGACGAAAATCATGTCGTGTGAATCTCTACAGCAATTTCATCAAGATATTATGTTCCTCTCCCTAAGTTACCTATTCCCAGCCTTTCCCAACTCTAGTGTAAACCTATAATGCAACGTTTTAAGTTCACCGTTACCAAAAACTGTCCTCTTTGTGCCTTGCATTTTGGATTTTCCCTCAACATTTTTAAAACGCATCTACTAGGGAGAAGTTTTCACACCTTATAAAAAATGTTTCGTTCTCCTCTCCATGAATGAGGTTAGATCCATCGTCTTGAAACCCCGACACTTGTAAAATCACAAAATGTTTCATCAATCATCAGGCAAGTTCCAGCGATCCAATCACGAACAGAATTAGAAAGCCATACAAGGTAAATCACAGCAAATGAAATGAACATGGGGAAATAAGAGCGAAAGTGGAGGGAAATTGTGACCTGGTGAAGAAGACTGGCAAGAAGCTGGAATAGTTGCTCGTCCGCCTTCCATTTCTCGGCCATGTTTTTCTGTGATGGGCTTGTGATTTTGGTGAGTGATGTTTGGCGATTTGGGTACTTGTACGCCAATCTGATGCCGTTTCACGAGGGATTAGCGACTCCAATGCCTAATGTGACACGTTCTCTCCTTCGCTCATACAACGGAACACACCATGACCAATTAAATTCACCAACTTCTCCTTTTCTTGCAATGAATTGGAAGCATTCATGGACAAATCTAATCAAATTGAGAGATCTCTGCTTAGATATGTCCATTTTACCTATAGAGACCTGTCCCGAATGGGAAGGAGATTTTCCAGCAAGTATGAGGAGCTAGTTGGGAACCTTTTTTTTCAATTGGATAAATGGATCGGGTTCTCCATCCCCGCCCAATTCTCCACCTCGTCCTACTTAATATAAATATATTTTCAACCGACTGCGTTTAAAATAATTAAATTTTAGGAGTATCATTCTAATATTTAAATTATAAATTTTTTTTATCGGGTTAAATTTTAAAATTTTAGAAATTAAAGGGATATATATACTTTTTATGAAATATATTAATTTATTATAATTTCTTTTTTACCATTTTTGAATGAAAATTATATTAATGAAAATTTTAAAATAATTCTTTTTAAAAAGAAAAAAAAAGCAGTAAAAAACCGTGAGCGGTAACCTATGCGTGCAAATTTATCATGTGATCGGGGAATGAAATAAGTTGCTGAAATGGAGACTTGCCCACCCCGTGCACATCGTTAATAATAATCTATCTGAAATTCATACGAATTTTTTTTAATTAAAACATCCCTCTATTTTATTAAGATGACAGTATCACATCCGTACACATTTAATTTATTTTATTAGTCAACTCCTTAATTTAATAAAACATAAAGTCTATCACTCACATCCATAAAATTAAGTTTTATTTTATGGTAATTTCATTATATGTTTTATTGTTTAAAATTCGCTTCTCGTAATTTTTATTTTAATAAATTTGAGAATATTTTTTAAATCATTTAAATTAGCATGAGATTTTGATTAATGGGGGAAAATTAATTTTTGCAATATTTTTTTAATGGATTAATTTCATTATTTATCGGAGGTTTCAATTTATTTATAAAAAAAATAAAGTGACGAGAGTTGGATAATAATTTAAAATAAATTACAAATTATTGAGGCATTGATCTTGTTCGATTCAGAGAGAGAGAGAGAGAGAGAGAGAAAATCGAAAGAGGTTCCGCAAACGACATTTTCGCCATAGACGAAGCTCAAGAGTTGTGTGTGTTTATAAGCCCTTTTCTTCACTCTAGACTCCAATTTCATAATCATAATCCTTCGATTTCTTCCACAAACATTCAGATTCATTACTAATTGTTCCCAACTACTCACAAACATCTCTGCTTTCGATTTCTAGGGTTTCCAGGATTTGAATTTCAACGGTTGGATTGTTCATGGTTGCAACTCGAATGTCCTAATTTCCTTCTGTACGTTATTGTTCCGTGTTTGAATTAGCGGTTTCTCTTTTGTTTTTTTGAATGTGTTCTTGTTTCTGTGATTGGGGTTTCGGAAATTTGATTTTGCTTCGGTTAGATGAATGATATGGATCGTACACAGATCTTGATGAATCAAAACTCTGTCGTTTGGCTTCATCCTCCAAATTTGCCTCCAGTTCTTCCGCTGGAGAATCGAGGTATGTTTCTTCACGGCTCCCAGAGATTACTCTCCACTGCTCCTACTTCGAATCAAGGCCGATGTCTCAGGAAGGGGAGATGGCTTGATATGAAGCGAAAAGGCTCGATTTCATCAGCCTATAAACCCTCGAATTGGAACGAATTACAGTACCAAAATCGGTTGAAATCGAGACGTTTTCATCCAAAGAAGAAGTGTAACTACCGTTTTCCCCCTTTCGCGCCCCGTAATACCACTTCCTTTTTAATTCGTGCCAAACGATCCGGCGGTATTGCGTCGTTGGTGTCGCCTAATCCGGTCACCCCTGCAGTGTTGCCTACTCCCATATTTTCGCCTCTAAGGGAAGTTCTTGTTGATATGGCTAAGGAGGAGTGGGGTCTCGACGGCTATGGCTCGATGAAGGGTCTGATTAGACTTAGGTCAGATGAAGACGAAGAAGAACAAGAAGATGGGGGATCTGGTGATAGCGATGTGGAAGGACATTTGGAGGTGGAGAGACGGCTGGATCATGATTTAAGTAGATTTGAAATGATCTGCCCAATTTCTGGTGGTGAAGAACAGAGCAGCGTTTTGGAGAGTAGAGTAGATGATCAAGATTCTCACATAGCCCAGCTTCAGGAGGAGAATTTAACATTGAAGGAAAGGGTATTCTTCATGGAAAGAGAGCTGGAAGAGCTAAGAAGAAGAGTTCAATTCTTGGAAACTGAAGGCTGTCTCATGGACAATAACAACAAAGACGAGACCGCAGCGTCCGAAAACGCCTCTGATAACGGTTGCATTGGCCATGGCTGCAAGAAGAAGATCACTAATCACGTTGGGAATGAATGAGATGACAAATTTTAGGATCTTTTTTGAATCTGATGAACTCCAGATTAGAAATAGATACCATTTCAGTGTAGTGTGTACAGAGCTAGCTAACCCTTATGTATGAAGTTTGTTCTATATCTGTTCTTCTGTTCATATTATCTCAATCCTTCTGTCTTCAAATGTTTCTTGGAAGCTGTTCTTCATTATTTTCAAATGTTTCTTGGAAGCTGTTCTTCATTATTTTCAAATGGTTCTTGCAAATCTATTGTAGATTAGAGGTGGCTGTGTTCACAAAGTGTTGGTGGTTGCAGGGCCCATTGTTTTCAGAGCATTGACCACAGCAGCAGCAGCAGCAGCAACGTGCCATTTTTGTTCCTTGTTTACAGTTTCAGGCACTGTATCACCTCTTTTTACTGAAGCCATGTGGGAATTGAAGCTGAAGGTCAACGTGCACAGTTGACTGGGCTCGGCCCAATAAGTCCTTCGGTGGGTGCAAAAGGCCCAGCCCAAATTAGCGGGAAACTGGAGGCCCATGAGCGTTGGCTGGCACGTGCAATGAATAAAAGGCGTATCGACCGTACACATGCAATAACCCAAACAAGGCGTATTTTCTGAAGGTAATGTTTCTTTGTCGGTTTGGGGGTAGGACGAGGGCCCACCACCAAGTTTCAATATTATTTATATGTTTATTTGTTTTTTAATTTTATAAATATATTAAAAAATAAATAAGGGTATGGATTGGCACGTGCGAGCGTGTGGTTTAAAATCGAAGGGAGGGGTGGGGTGGGACCGGGGAGATCCGAATGATTTTGAATAATAATTGATTGGACCAA